GGATGAGAGGTGAAACGTCTTCAAGCAACTTAAAGAAGTCCAGACGCTTTCCTTTGCAAGCTCCTTTGAATAAGATCTTTTGGTATCTGACACTTTATTGTTGTCTGGTGTGGCTGTAGCTCAAGAGGTCATCTAAACAGAAGCTTGCATCCATCAGTGTGTAAATGTTGGATATACTACTTATAAGTACTTAAGCATAGGGAAGAAAAGCACTTGGGTAAATGAGACATGATGTATAAAGTGCTTGGATTGTTCAGGTAGAATAGCAAAGCGCTATATAAGAACTTGATTACCATCTATTTTATTGTAGGATCTTTACCTTATGACATGAAGTGCTTGAGGTGACTGTTGTTGTGATTTGGTTCATATAAGTGAAAGTGAATTGAAACTCTTTGCTCGTAACATCTACCAGTTCAAAAGTGAAACGCTTCAGAGAAAGGCCTGCAGTCTGGCCCCATCCAAAACCACTTTTGATGACTGATAATCTCCATTAGTGACTCACTTTACATGCACACACAGGATTGACTGTATTGCGTATTGATGTGTGAGGAAGCGTTCATATAAGAAGAATTACAGTAGGAGAAACCAATAATAAAAGATCTCTAACACTGCATCTTACACCGTGTGTCTTTATTTTCCACCACCGACTCCTATTATGAGTCCATTTACATTCATACTGAAGAAGTCGTATTTAATCAACGCACAGTTTAATGTGCTCAAAGAGATGATTGTGTACACTCTAATCATCCATTGAGCTGTTTGTTGATCATCAGGCTGTAAAAGTAGGGTGCAAATAATTATTCAGCATTTCCATGACGCAGGAGTGTGATTGTGAACCCTCCACCCTGGGGGAACGTGAAGAAGTGTCAGCTTCTCCTGAAGTATTTCTCCCTTTGCTGTATCCTCTGCTCTCTGGGTTGCAGTGCGTCACGAGTCTCCGGTCTTCGGCTTCTCTTTCATGTCTGTGCATTGAGACAAATCTGAGAGGAAAAAGAGTTGGTTACTAAAGGAAAACAGGAGAAAAAAAAAGACATCCACAGGCTGACACGTCACATCGGATGCGATATTGTCAAGCTGAAAAAAAATCTATGAAAAAGGAGGTTTGATTGTTGGTTCGCTAGCTGTGAGCGCAGATAGAAACGAGTCCAGGCAGCAACCTCCAGGGCAGAAAATGTGACTGAAGCGCAAGTGCCAAAATTGCAGTTCCTCTAATGGCCACTTGAGGCTGCCTTGTGTATTTTCAGATGGCATCACCAGTGTTTTGGCAAATCATTTAGTCTCTCTGCATGTATTTACCTGTGTGCTGGCTTCTGTGGATATTCTGGATATAGAGGAGCAGCAGGAACAGGCAGAAGCCGATAAGGGACGCTACTGTACCGCACAGCAGGAAGGAGTAGCTGCCCTGACTGTGGATCACCTGCAGGAGCCACACACATAAACACACATTGATCTCAGCGGTCAACCCTGGGAAGCAATGGAGCCACCAAGCAACGTTAGCGAGGCGCTTTAGCCTAATTCATTCAGACACAGCAGGCTACAGTCACTGCACAAATGCTCAGTAGTGACCTGAAAGCCTGTTCCCCAGTGAGGGGACATGCACTATTATATTACAGTTATTGAAATGTTTCAGAAAGAAACAAGAAATTCATATAAAACACTGAATGTAAAAGGATTTTGTGAAAGTGAATACTTTATAAGAATGTTCAGGAAGACAGAAGAGTCTTCTTACCGATCCAACAAGCAGCTGAAGCAGCATCTCCCCTGTGCTGGCACTCGTTACCAGCACTGTTGTGGCACAGCCTGTAACACACGATAAGCACACAGGAATAATCTACAGCTATGGGACAAAGCTGCACGCTGTAAAAGTGTACATGAGGCAATTAATTTAAAAAAATCAATGCTTATTATTAAGTTATACTAATTAATAATCAAACAAATGAACAAATGTGTTAGATTATGATCGCGTGTGTTACATGGAGAACAGGGTTTCTGTTTGTTTATATTAAACACTTGATGTAAAATATATCGAGAAATTTAAATTTAAATTAATTTGAATATTATAATAAAAACTGGATGACATAAAATTGTAAAAACTAATGAAAGTATACATGAATAGGTAACATCTGATCATTAAGAACTAATAATAAATCATACTTGAAGACAAACATGTATATTTAAACAATCTTTGTCTGTTTTGGGGGAAATTATTACACTCAAGTGCAGAAATGTGGGGAAAACCCTCAACTGTGTAGAAACACAGTTATTTATGATGCGTATTATAAACAGAACATCAATATTTTATTTTTACATGTAAAAATGCTGCATGGATCCACATTTTTATGTGATAGTTTTAATTTCATGTATTATAAATCTCTCCTTCTGCTGCCTTCGTGGCATGAAATTCAAAGTGAGCACATATTTTCATGCCCACAGTTTGTTTCCGTTTTACACTTTCACTGTTAACTTTTCTGTAACCGAGTGTCATCAGGAATGATTTTACTCATTTCCTACTGGTTTACAATATATCAGATTACTTATGCAGCAAACGCAGTATGCACACTGGTGCAGTGAAAAAGTATTTGTCCTCGTTCTGACCGTTGTTTTCTTTTTCTACAAATCCTAACAAAGACAGAAATATTACAACTGAAAATACTTCAGTGAGCAAACTGTATGAACGCTGACCTTAACTGTTCTTTACATGTTTGTCTGCATGCCTGTGTGACCTGAATAAGCCACGAGTGCGCTCTTATTTTGATAGGAGTCATTTTTTCCTCCTGTGAAGGTTCACCGCTGTTCAACATTATATCCATTTTTGGGAAATAGCTCTCTCAAAGTCATAGAAAAGACCTTTCTAGACTGATTTTGTTTCTCTTCTTGAGATTCTTTACATTTTGGCATGAAGTGTTGCTTTATGAGAACTTCACTTGGTCAGATTCTATTTTTTGTTTTTTGATTCAACAGGTCTGGCAGTAATCAGGCCAGAGTATGGCGAAACAAACTGAATTTAATTTCATAAGCCACTCTTTTTTATACCGGGCCAGGTAGGGTTGGGAAGCCTTTTCCCTTTAATAAATGAAATCGTCGGGTTATCTTAGCCTAATATTGACAATGACTGTTTGATGGCTGTACTCCTGCGAGGCACTGACGATGTGTGTGTGTACCTTTGTATTCTAATATGTCCTCTGTGAAGGCTAACACAGAGGGGAACACACTGCTGATGCACAGGCCCAACACACAGGTGCCAATGAACAGAAACACAGAGCTGGTGTAGAAGATTAACAGCAGGCACTGAACCAGTATGACTCCCACCTGAGAAACACACACACACACACACACACACATTAAATATAAAATATACATAAACAGGAAGAACAGAGGTAATGCACAGACGGTGATGGAAATGTACACATACTGTTGTAAAGTGGAAACAACAGGTGACTGGATTTGAAAGCTTAGACTAACACTGGAACGTCCTGCTAAAGGTTAAAAGGGAACTAAGTGCTGCCAAAACCCAGCAAAGAACCAAAGTCGGCTTCAGTCTAACACATGACCAGCTGAGATATTCAACACATCACAGAGAGCCTGTTGTGACGAACAATTAGAAAAAGCAAAAATAACTAGAAACCATTAGAGGTTAAAACCTGTAAACACGATCATTTAAAATTACCTCGGGCTCCAGGAAACTGTAGAAAATTTGTTTTTTTGCATTTCATACAATTTTGTTTTCACATTTCATGATTCATGAAGTGTGAAAACAAGATTAATAAAGACAAAAAAACAACAGTCACACTGTTTGCATGAGAAAGGCAAACTTTATGTTCAGGCTAACACTGCAGAAAACTGATAATAACAATCCTTACTTATCTATACGTATGTGTACGTTTGTAATGATCTGCTTGTCCACAGAGACACTACACTACAATGCCGAAACTGAGTGGAATGAACCAGGTTAGCTCAGACACACTGTGTGTACCCACTCAGACAACAATCCTCTTCTCAGTGGCTTGCATTCCCACCCTGTTCAAATATTTGGTTTGAACTGTCGTAAGACAAACGTCTTATAGCTTTCAGAGGAATAAAGCCTGACCCGTGATGGTCACCTCTGCTTTTCCTGCCCTGTGATATCTGTGTTCATGCAGGTTTGTCCTTCAGACACGTGTCCATACCAGACTGACGATGAGCAGCTTGGGTGCCGTGTATCTGTAGGACAAGTACATTGAAGCCAGTCTTCCCACGGTGATCGCGGCCCAGAATATGCTGTCCAGACAGCCTGCCATCTTATGTCCCATCAGCAGAGGAGGGGAGACGGCGTAGGTGTAGACGAAGCCAGCATAAGAGCCCTGCAGGACAAGAAACCCGGCCGGAGGTCAGTTAGATCAGGCCCAGGAACAAACTTTGTCGCTCACTTTTTTCCCTGTTCTCATTGGTAACATATAATCAGATCAAATAAGGCACCATAATATCTGAGCCTCGTTCTTAAAGCTTTATATTGGCTGTTTACACTGGATTCACAGACAGCCTTCAGCAGGTCACTCTAATAATGACGTTTCTTAATGAAACTCAGTGTAAAGGTGCTCTTCTTTGTATGATTTCTTACCACATTTATAGAAGCAATATCCCTTCCCAGGATATTGCTTCTATAAATATAACATGGGTGCAATATAATATATAACACAGTGTAATAAACAGTCATGATGTCACAAGTGCAAACTTTCTATTTTAACGGTGACGGTACATCGATGTACTGCTCTGTGTTACTCCTAAGCAGAGTCTTAGTCGATTAGATGATCTTTTAATACAGCAAAGCCAAAACCACTGAAGCTCTCACATATCACGATTAGGGGTGGGTTTTTATAATCGATTTATTAATTAAAATCGATTCTGGCTTGGATAATGTGAAATCGATTCATTAAAATCCTGAATCAATTTTTTAATATAAATTTATTTTGCCCGAAATGCCAGAATCTCAGGTGAAATCTCACAAAATTTCAACAACCACCAAATAGCTAAGACAGTAAATAAGAGCAGGAACACGGCTTCTGCACAAAGACTTAAACACAGCGCAACCCGCGGATCAGAATCAGTGAGATGTCGCCTTTCTCACCCGACGGCACGGACACGGTCGGGGCTGAAAGCCGACAGCTCGCTGATTCTGATGTTTCGGTGAGTCCACGCTTTGTGTTTACGCCCTTTTTACGCTGATTCTAAAGCTGTTAGTTTGATGTCTCTCCAAACATTATTGACCGAACCAGCAGCAAAAGAAGATCCAAACTAAGCTTCACATAAACATCGTCATGAATTCACTCTCAGTTTTGCTGTTTTGCTTCGACCACGATGCACAGCTCTCTCTCTCTCTCTCTCTCTCTGTACTTCAAGAACAGTTTCCCGTCTAAAAATCTGTTTTCTTCATTATTCGCTTGCTTGTTACGCACCAGTCTACCGTTATTTACAGCGCTGTCGGCCGATGTTTTATATACTTCCAAAAAGAAAACCTAATTTCTGCCGTTCAATACTGAACAAATTTAAACTTTTTAAAATTATGCAAAATGCAAAACGCTTAGTGTGTCTCTAATAAAACCGTTGTAACTTCAGAGGTAATGTTCCTAAGTTGATTAATGGCTTTCTTTCGTTTTTGATCTACTGCAGAATATTTTTATAAAATCCCAGGCCAGAAAAATCACCTTCATGTTTTTCTGTGTTTTATCTTCAGCTACTTTGACACAAAGGCATCTGCTGTGATG